GTCAGGTGTTACTCAAAAACAAGGCATTGATATTTCAGCTACATGTTGCATAAACTAGTCACTAACAAGAGTGATCAAGAGATGACATATCCCTAGATCGGATGCAATTCGGACATGGAGTTTGGCTACTGACACCTGACTTTTACACTGGATCTCTTCTTGTCTGAGAAGTAAAACATACTGGTCTTCAGGATATCTACAAATCCAAATTTCAGAAGTCTCAAGATATATACTAAGGCTTTGGAGTTAAGCTCTGGAAACAATACGATTCAAATTTTCATTAGTCAAAACTGTCATTGCAAAGACATTAAATATATTTATATATATAAATGGAAATTCCAGAGTTTCAAAAGGACTAGGCTACAACTGATCTGACAAGTTTCTTTCAAATGTTACTGCTTACTAATATCTTGAGTTCAAATAAGCATTAAATGATAAATGAGTAAGTGATAAATTTCTTTCAGATAAATGAGTTCAAATAATTATAACTATACAAGTCACTTAGGCAATATAAGCATCGTCATAAATTTAACATATACAGAAAGTCATTCATTTTAAATTCATTACTAATTTAAGTGATTCTTTCTTAAAATATTCCTTCCCTTATTGTCACTGGATAAAGCGAGATAAAACAATTACATTCTGAGGCCATGTTCATCTGTTAAGGTCATCTAGGCAAAGGACAGACAGCCTTTCAGGTTTACAGTGAAAATAATGCATGGTAACACAAACAGGTCACACACTGACCCACTTCATTAATTGTTTACATCTAATTAACTGCTACCAACAAACGACAGCTGTCATAGCTGTGGAACTGTACTGAATGAAATACTTGCGCACCGTGCACTGAATGTGCATCTGTTGATGCATTTCACAGCGAACAGCTGCCTGCACTAAATAAATAAACAACGTAACGACATGTGGAAACAAAGGGTGGACAGCCGTTCAGCATATATTCACCAAAGTCTGGGTTTTTCGTGTTTGGGAGTTGATTATCTAGGCAATATTCCGGCTGTACATCAGTCTACACAAATAATCAAGTCTGGACCAGACAAGCCAGTGACTCATTACGAGCAACCTCCCCTGTGGGAGATGAAAACAGTCTACTGACCATCCAACGTCACTTATACGTCCAGCATAATGGACCCATTCTAGGAATACCCAGGTAAATGTAACCAGATCGACATGGTCTACCATGCTATAAAAGGGAGTGTCCTTTCTGTAGGCAACCTGTGAACCACCGCTGCAGGCTGTTGGCACACATCTAAATGTCTGATATTCAGGTGGCAGTGGTAAACACAATTTTATGCTTGATCAAGTTTCAAAGTCTTATCAACCTGTCACTTGCAATACTATAGAGTGAGTGAGTGAGTGAGTTGGGTTTTACACCGCTTTCAGCAAAATCCCACCAACACCACAGAGTGGGACACCAGACATGGGCTTCCAACATTCTACCAGTGAGTTAGTGAGTTTAGTTTTACGCCACACTCAGCAATATTCCAGCTATATGGCGGCTGTCTGTAAATAATTAAAATCTGGACCAGACAATCCAGTGATCAACAACATGAGCATCAATCTGCACAATTGGAAACCGATGACATGTGTCAACCAAGTCAGCGAGCCTGACCACCCGATCCCGTTAATCGCCTCTTACGACAAGCATGGGTTACTGAAGACCAATTAACCCGGACCTTCACGGGTACAACAGTCTACCAGGAGGACCCAGATCTTCAGTGTACAGAGAGAACACTGTAACCACCAGGTTACCCAACTGCCTGCTGCAATACTATGGAAAATGCAGCAGTGATTAATGACAAAACTCAATTGCACACGGATTTGACAATATGTACAGAAACCGTTGGAGTCTACAAGCAAAATCATGGCTCTCAACATTTTTCCGTCGATTTTAGATTTATTACGTAGACAATTAATTGAGCTTACTACACCCAATAGAAATGAGACTAGACTCAGACTTCAGACAACATGGATGTCAACCGAACAACTCTTTGCAGTACATGTCATGCCAGAAAATGCCAGGGCGTAAACATTAGTCAGTGATGTCATGTCGCCGAAATGTTCAGTTTTGAAACTCACAATATGTTAGTGGATGTTTTCAACATCATAAAGAGTAAATGGTGTTGAAAACACTCGGGGTCAATCTGGGGTCAGGAGGTTGCACTGGGACGTCCTCCAAAAACCTGAATCTTTAATCACAAACAGGAACCACTCTGTCCAAAATTAGCATAAAAGACAAGGGTTACTTGTCAGCCCTGCAATGTGAAAAATTACACTAGTGGAGAAGGCAGTACCTACTAGATTCAAATATTAGCTCACGACACTGTTTACAGCCTCTACCCACCCTCTCAAAACACACATCCCTATGTCTAATAGTATTTGATGTTTATATTTTATCACTATTTATCATTCATGTTCATGATACACAAACATGTAAACTCTCAATTTTTAAAAAAAATATTCAACAAGCCTGTACCCAGAGTCATGTTATTTTTATGAGTGAGTTTAGTTCACACCGCTTTTAGCGATATTCCTGCAATATCACGGCGGGGGACACCAGAAATAAGCTTCACACATTGTACCCATGTAGCAATGGAACCCGGGTCTTCGCCGTGATGAGCAAACGATTTAACCACTAGGCTACCCCACCGCCCCTATTTTCAAAACTTATCTATCACAAAATACTTTTGTGCCTACTTGTCCAAACACGTCATTTAGACATCATTGCAGTAGATTTTCATCATAGATTATGGTCCTGATAAAACTGACGTAATTTGGCTAGAATATATTTACTAAGGGCTCCGGACAATGGGCTAAAGATGCATATCATCACAGTTACTCCCCTCTGTAACAAACTAATCCTTAAGATGAAACAGTTCCACTTGGGCCAGGCATTCTAACCATGCTGCTTTCATAACAACCATCCCTCAATTTAGAATAATTCATGCAGTGAAATAATTGGCTCTGAATAATCATTAATCAGAGCACACGCAATATGGATTCCAGCTTGGAAAACATCACACACAAGAAGACAGGAGACTTGAAACATACCTGATAAAGGTGACCAGCCCTACCAGCGATGAAGTGTCGGTGTCATATATTGGATAAGTAAAATCCCCTGCCATAAAGCCACGAGGTCTGTGTTTGAACTGCTGCGTGCCACTGCAGATGTTGAATGCGTACTGCACTACACGACTCGGCCCTCTCAACATAGTAGCTATTAATCATTCATAGGACAGCCAATGGCACATTAAAAACTCACAGCTAGGTCATATGAAATACTATGCCTGGCAAATATATCTAATAAGGAGAGATTAAGAATCTGGCAATTGTTGTGTTTTTCAATTTATCCTATTATATATGACAACCAAATTAAAATTATTAATTTGATATTTTTTGTTGCTGCACGCACTAAGATTTTAGAAAACACTTTGAGCACAATACGAACGTGAATTAAACCTGACATAAGCAAATAGATTGTACGAAATGACACCTTACATACGTCAATGCTTTAGATAAAATACCCTATTCTACTTATTTAAAAATAACCATGATTAAAACGTAAACTGCTGACACTGCACATTTTGTTCTACAATGTACGTTTTGCTATAAACCAGTGCTTAATGTTAAGAGCAATATCTAATTCTGCCCAGGTACAAAGGTATATATCAAGTACAAGATCCATCTTATTCATCCCCTTCGACAAGGTAAAGGATACATGGTTCTTAAACAGCATCTTTCAAAGCCAAAACTGATGTTAACATATACAGAAACACGACAGATTAAATCTTGACAATCCTAACGCTGTGTATCGACCAAGAACGCCTACTAATATGTTTGACATTCTTCCACCCCTTAGGATACCATTAACATTAACAAAACTGACCAGGCTTGTGGGCTAGTGTTAATTTCCATCTTGAGAATACTATTACAATTTGAGTAATAACATTCTTCTTGCAAAATCTAATACATCTGCTCTGTGAATGCTATCAGTTAATTTTTTTGTGAACAAACAAAATGCAAAGATATGTAGATTTAAAACTACCTTGTCATCGACACCAGGTTAACCATCCAAACAGAATGGCAATGACTAAATTTCAGTGTTATAACAACCCGAAGAACTGACCTGGATGCTGGAGAAACTGATGCTCGGTCCAGGTATCAACTGTGTCATATGCTCTAGGAATGAAAGTTTAAATACCCTACAGGTCCAATCACCAGCTCATTCACTGCAATGTCAATACCTGTCTAATTACCGAAATTACCACAACCTCTGAACTCCACGGAACACACAATCAAGCTACCCCATGTTGACACTTGAAAAGATTAAACCACCACCCTTGTCCAACATGAATGCATCTTCGTTTGTGCGGCATTCAGATAATCTGTTGTCATGTAACGAAGCAGTAAGTCCAGGTACACATTAGTGTAGCTAAGACCTGGATTAATGACCTATAGATCGTTAATTGGCCTGACAGTAACGAACCCAACCCAAGGACAAGCCAGCCTAAGCTACTGTCAGCCAAGTCAAACGAGAAACAGCCACTATCGAGAAGTTACATGTCTTTTGATTAATCATCAGTATCAACAACAAAGATTCTATGTCATTGCCATGGTTACGGAATAAACAGTATATTTTTAAATGAGGACAGCAGGACTCAATTATGTTTGTAAAAAAACACCCGTAAGATGATGATATACTATATCATCTGAAGTCATCAATTAGGCCCGCGATGACACAATCATCAGGAAAAATGTCAGCTGCGACATTGTCGGCTTCTTGTCACGTTTATCAGAGTTGGATTGGAGCAAAGCATACATTAGTTCATTACTGTAAGGCGTATATCACTGTCATACCTACAAGTAGTAAGCGATTAGGTTAATCCAGAACTACTATATTTTGTAAATCCTTAAGGTAACAACAACATTTAACATCTCACAGCCTGCTGGTCATGTATTAACGCCTGCAGCCCTGATAACGGGCCATGCATCAGCTAATACTGCCATGCATCAGTTCATGCAGCCCCGCCTACTATCCAGCATCAACTCCTTCAGCCCCGCCTACCATTCAGGCATTAGTTCTTGCAGCCCTGCCTACTGGTTATGCATCAACACCTGCAGTTCTGCCTACTGGTCATGCATCAACACCTGCAGTTCTGCCTACTGGTTATGCATCAACACCTGCAGTTCTGCCTACTGGTCATGCATCAACACCTGCAGTTCTGCCTACTGGTTATGCATCAACACCTGCAGTTCTGCCTACTGGTCATGCATCAACACCTGCAGTTCTGCCTACTGGTCATGCATCAACACCTGCAGTTCTGCCTACTGGTTATGCATCAACACCTGCAGTTCTGCCTACTGGTCATGCATCAACACCTGCAGTTCTGCCTACTGGTCATGCATCAACACCTGCAGTTCTGCCTACTGGTTATGCATCAACACCTGCAGTTCTGCCTGCTGATTATGCATTAACATCTGCAGTTCTGCCTACTGGTTATGCATCACCACCTGCAGTTCTGCCTACTGGTCATGCATCAACACCTGCAGTTCTGCCTGCTGATTATGCATCACCACCTGCAGTTCTGCCTACAGGTTATGCATCAACACCTGCAGTTCTGCCTACTGGCCAAGCATCAACCCCTGTAGCCCTGCCTACTGGCCAAGCATCAACCCCTGTAGCCCTGCCTATAGACCATGCATCAGTTCCTGCAGCACTGCCTACCACCCAATCAACTCCTGTAGCTCTGCCTACTATCAAAGCATCAACTCCTGTAGCTCTGCCTACTATCAAAGCATCAGTTCCTGCAGCTCTACCTACTGGCCAAGCATCAACTCCTGCAGCTCTGCCTGCGGGCCAAGCATCAACTCCTGCAGCTCAAGCATCAACTCCTGCAGCTCTGCCTACTGGCCAAGCATCAACTCCTGCAGCTCTGCCTACTGGCCAAGCATCAACTCCTGCAGCTCTGCCTACTGGCCAAGCATCAACAGCACTGGCCAAGCATCAACTCCTGCAGCTCTGCCTGCTGGCCAAGCATCAACTCCTGCAGCTCTGCCTACTGGCCAAGCATCAACTCCTGCAGCTCTGCCTACTGGCCAAGCATCAACTCCTGCAGCTCTGCCTACTGGCCAAGCATCAACTCCTGCAGCTCTACCTACTGGCCAAGCATCAACTCCTGCAGCTCTACCTACCACCCAGTCAACACATTTCCTTCCAGTACTACATGAACTCCTGCAATCACTCGGGAGTTGCATAAACTGCCTCCCTGTATCAACCAGGAAGTTATCACTAGCCTTCTTTATTACTTACCAAGTCTAATGTTATGGCTAGCACTTTTGCCAAGAGATGAAACACAAAGTCACCGAGCAGCAAAGTGACATGAGACTGCAGTTATTAGAAGCCAAAATGAATTGTGATGTGTAATGCTCAACTCCTGCACCCAAACCCCAGAGTCACGTGCTGCTCCTGGTGGCTCTCAGAATACAACTCTGGTATGAGAAACACGAGGCATGATTGGGATGTGGTGGGGTTTTTTCATTGAACAACAGCAACATCAGCAATGATTTTCATACCGTACCAAGGATTGGTTTTCAATAATGTCCTTTTCACACGTCATCTGCTATATCCATAATCATAGACTAGAAACAGGTAAGTCCGAAAGGAAATTACCAGGCTGAGAGGAGCATTAGCGAACAGACTCAGTGATTTCATAACCTGATTGTGAAATGTGACCAAACTCTTCTAACTTACCTGATAATTCAACATAGAAGGTGAGGTGAAATTGGGTTTCACACTTAAGAATATTTCGCTCATATGACAACGTGCAAGCGTGTGTATCTGTGGCTGCTTGTACTAGCACAGACTGAACCTGGTTTTATAGTGCTAACTCATTCAGATACCATGCCACAGTTAAGCATTAATATTGAATACCCCACTCAGACACATTATACTGATTCCAAGCCGACCAGTCCTTGTTGTACCCATTAATGCCGAGCGCCAGGCAGGGACCAACAAGTACCATATTTTTAGCATCTTTTGGTATGACGCAGCAGAGGATCAAACCCATAACCACTACACCACGGAGGCGGTCATTTAAAATAGAAAATTTCAAAGCATTTAATCAAGATCCTACATATTTCAGCTCCTAACAGAAAACAAGCATCTAATCTGATCATGTTGGTACTGGTCACAACCTAGAGCAACTTGTTTTGGCACACATAACAGACCCTGGCGCCAACATTGGCAACGCGGACTCACTGATTTACAAACCCATGACAAGATGTAAACAGTTTTCAATTCTAAATTCCGATTTCAAATGATTAAACCAAAGAACTGTTCACTCAAATACTGATAAACTGGTCATGGCAGACAAAACGTTGTAACCATGCACCATGAAGACATGGTGCTGTTGTCGGCACCAGTGTTTTAACCAGTACAGAGTCTGTCTGTCACTGCTCCTCCTAGCTGATCCATCCCGTGAGCAGCATAGCAAGCAGGCAATCTCAATTCCCAGAAGCAAATGAGGCCATGAGAGAGCTCGTCTTCAAAGATTGGCGATGCCATCATAATTCCATAATACACCCCAAGAATTGATATCACCCCCTTGATCCCTATAGATTACTCAAGTTTTGTACTCAGTCAAGAGGTATCTGGAATTAATCCTGATTTACATGACAACATGTAGCTGATGTAGGCTGCACGACTTCCAAGCAGCATTCTCATTAGTAGGATGCTATCTGTGACACTGTAATTGGTAGTCATTAAGATCCTTACAGACCAGAAAATCTCACATTCTAACATGAATTATTAAATAGTGCCTAGGAAATCTCTTTTTATTCAAGATGCATTTAGTTGAGCCCATCTTCGAGGATATTTGGTGCAAATGGATGATTTTGTTACAACAGATTGAATTCGTCATTTAAAACGAAAACCACAAAAAATGAGTTTCATTTTGGGGTGAATCATCATCATCATCATGTAAACATTACATATAGAAATCAAACCTTTCATCATCATCATCATCATCATAATCATCATCATAATAATATATGTTCAAATCCAGTCTTTCAAACAAATCAGTGGAAGAGTTTACAAGATTCAAATGTCAAACATAATCAGTATGGTAGTAGTAGACATTGTCAAATTCCTCTACAGATCCAAATCATCATCATCATCATCATCATCAGCATCATCAGGGTTTCTCATCGGTCTGATTTTCAGGCAAATGGAGCACTGTGTTCAAACTGCCACCTAGAATAATTAGTATTGCTAATATAAATTAGTATAATATCACAGACTTGTCCCAAAAATATCCCATAGCATTTACAAATACACCAGGACTATAGAAAACAAAAAGGTACCAGTAATCTTAAAACGTTAAATACGCACTTCAACTAACATCTATCGCAAGTGGCCAGGACCGAAAAAGAGAGATTGTGATATCCTCCAGTTTGTGTAGGCGTGTTCTTTACAGACAGTTTACTGTATTTACCAAAACTGTATCATCATTGCAACAACCCATCACAATAATCATCATCGCAACATCCCATCACAATAATCATCATCGCAACATCCCATCACAATAATCATCCCATCATCAATAATCATCATCATCATGCATCGCAAATCATCCCAATCATCAATCACAATAAATCACAATCATCATCATCACAATAATCATCAACATCCCATCATCATCAATAATCATCATCGCAACATCCCATCACAATAATCATCATCGCAACAATAATCATTCCCATCACAATAATCATCATCGCTTGGCGCCATCCATCCATCACAATAATCATCAATCATCGCGAACATCCCATCACAATAATCATCATCGCCCATCACATCATCACAATAATCATCATCGCAACATCCCATCACAATAATCATCATCGCAACATCCCATCACAATAATCATCATCGCAACATCCCATCACAATAATCATCATCGCAACATCCCATCACAATAATCATCATCGCAACAGCCCATCACAATAATCATCATCGCAACATCCCATCACAATAATCATCATCGCAACATCCATCACAATAATCATCATCGCAACATCCCATCACAATAATCATCATCATCATCCCATCACAATAATCATCATCGCAACATCCCATCACAATAATCATCATCGCAACATCCCATCACAATCATCATCGCAATATCCCATCACAATCATCATCATCATTCCATCACAATAATCATCATCGCAACATCCCATCACAATAATCATCATTGCAACATCATCACAATAATCATCCCATCATCAATAATCATCATCGCAACATCCCATCACAATAATCATCATCGCAACAGCCCATCACAATAATCATCATCGCAACATCCCATCACAATAATCATCATCGCAACATCCCATCACAATAATCATCATCGCAACATCCCATCACAATAATCATCATCGCAACATCCCATCACAATAATCATCATCGCATCACAATAATCATCATCGCAATCAATATTCATCAACACCATCATAATCATCATCAACATCCCATCACAATCATAATCATTCATCACAATCCAATCACAATAATCATCATCACAACATCCCATCACAATAATCATCATAAGTAAATATCACTAGTGAAATTCATCTTCTTCGTCATCTCTTTCAAATAATAATAAGATTTCACCTTTTGTCCTGTTACAATATATGACAAAAGGTCAAATCTTCTCATATTATTTTCATTCTCAAACATAACATGGCACACCATTTCAACACAAGGCTGGTCATTGTTCTACCAGTACCAATAGCCGTATGATAAAGACTGGTTCTAAAATAGACAGAGATACTATTTTGGTCGGATCTGTTTCACAACGGTCGTTGTCATCACTGTCTCCACCAGCCCTCCAGACATAAGACTATAATTAATTCCACTGGAACAGGACTGGAAATCTCCACTCAGCATTTACCGAGCGTAATGATATTTATCTACATTTGGATTATCCACATATTATGAATATATTTCTATTCCAGCAAACCATTTTTAATACAAACAGTACCATTCCCAGACAAATTTTCCAGATTAACAAACTTCAGGATTATTGAATCTTTCGTAATGACTGTTGCTGCAGATGTTCCTAGCAGTTGTTGTAAGGAAGGTAGGATCCATATAAACAGGGTGTGCAAAAATTTACGGAATATTTTTATCATTCTTCGCTGTTAATGATGGTGACCTAGATGACAGAGGTTGTAAATAATCAAATGCATACCAAACAATCCAGTGATGTACATTAGCACCTATCTTTGCAATTGGAATACAACCACATGCATTAAGCATATTTGACCGCATAATCCTGTTGGTCAGATCTTACCACAAGCACGACTGCCTCTTACAATAAGCATTGGATAATGAAGACTAATTCCAACCTTGACCTTTAAGGGCCTTCTTCATATTAATGAGTGAGTTATGTTTTACGTCACTATTGGCAACATTCAAGTCAAAGATATGGACAAGGATGGTCTTAATTCATTATTTCCCTTTTGGTAGAATTTTCTTAAAATACAATAACGCACCATAAGACTATGGATTTAGAATAAAGTTCACAACTCACTGCATATCTTTAGGAATACTGACATTCATCATTACATAAAAATCAAGGGGTTCTTGGCATCTTAAATATTTGTTGCTATGACATTTGTGTCGGTGAAGCCTTACATCTTATTTTAGCATGGAACTAATGTCAATGACAAATGTCTCAAATGTTTTTTTTATACCACTTAGAAAAAATGTAGATTTTTACATAGGACACTAGTAACTCTATAAACAATAACATATATAGTAGATATCTTGCATAAGACTACTTAAAACAAGCGTTCTATTTCCCTTGTTGCTACAAACAAAATTGTCTTGTGTGACCAGCAACGACCACAGCAGTGTTTGAGGTAGGGTGAGCAGGGGTTTAACGCCGCAGTCATGACCTATACACACATGCAGTGACATGCATGAGCGTCTGCTTGTAATAATCTGAACCAATCCCGGTTTAATAATGTGAGCCCACAGTTAAACATGATACTGCACTCAAGACCCAGCCCCATCTCCTTGACAACCAGCCTTGTGTTTTCCCTCAGTGAGCAGCAGGCTAGGTAACAAGGAGTACAATGTTTTAATATTATTTATATAGTGAGTGAGTGAGTGAGTATGGTTTTACACTGCTTTTAGCAATATTCCAGCAATATCATGGCGGGGGACACCAGAAATGGGCTTCACACATTG